CGCTTTGGTGTAGGTGGTCGATCCAGCTCGGCTTGTAAATCCGAGCGCATGGCGCTTTTGCGATTCGTTGTTCTCTTGCGCCTGGTTCAGGTCAGCAGGCCCAGGTGGATCACGGGTCCCGCCCGTAATACATATCGAAGGCGCCTCCTGTGATAAACTAGCATATTGTTCGGGGGGGAATGGGATGGGGGGCGCAGGCGAACGTCTTCTCCAATAGACCAGAGACGCGCGGACACGTGGCGCGTTGGGGCGTTCATGTTGCAGCGCGAACGGACTTCATGTCCTTGATTACGGGATTGCTTCAACAAGCGCATCAGTTCCCAGTCTCCCTGGAACACCTGAACATGATTGTGGGGTCTTCCTTTCAGATCTGAACGCCTTTTTTTCTGGTACTTTGTTCAACGTCTGGTGACCGTCGGCCCATCCCGCCGCCGTGCCTGAGGTAACGGAAATAGCGAGGTACGAGTGGTAAAGTTTTGGTGGGGCGAAGCCCTCTAGGGAGGGGTCCAGGGGAGGGGCGAGGCGGGGTGGGATGAGTTGTAATGGTCTCCTGGGCGGCTCCTATGGCCTGATTCCTAGTAATTTTTTGAGTGACGTTGCCCACGGGCCCCAAGACTGCTCAAGAGGGCCCCTAAACAGCATACGAGGGCACCAAGACTGCCCCAAGAGCGCCTCAGATGGCCTCCAGACAGTCCAAGAGAGCTTCAAGACGGCTCCAGATGCCTTCCAGAGGGCCCCCGAGATGCCCCCCCTGGCGCACAATCCATTGAATGTTTCTGTAGTTTTTGCAGTTTTTGGAGTCCTTGCCTTTTCGGGCCAAGAGCTGCCCAACACGGCCCAAGAGGCTCCAAATACCGTCCCAAGACGGCCCAACCATTGTGCAAGATGGCCCTCAGAAGGCCCCAGATGGACCCGAAACTGCTTAAATGGGCCCCAAGCCGGCCCAGGAGGGCCCCACGATTGCCCCAAGAGAGCTTCAAGAGGGCCCAACGCGGCTCCCAAGAGGGCCCCAAGCTGCCCCCAAGAGAGCCCCAGGACGGCCACAGGCCTCCAGGACGCTCCAAGACTGCCCCAAAGGGCCTTAAGACGGGCCAGAATTGCCCCACAAGGGCTCCCACATGGCTCCGAAAGGGCCCCTAGAAGACCCCGACGAGGCCCAGGAGACGCTCGAGACCACCATGGCTCCCATCGGCGAGCGGTGATGCAACAAGCTCTTGGCACCACGGCCCCCCAGAGCGCAGCGACGTAAGAAGCTCGCCACACCAAGACTCCCAAGAGCGAGCGGCAACGTAACACCAGGAGGGAAACACACACAGACACAATTCATCGTCGATTCCCCCAGAAAATATGGGAAAATATGGGAAGTGGGGGGGAATACAACAACCCAGAAAATATGGGAACCTATGGGGAATCTTTTTATTTGTGTGTATTTACGTGTGTGTCCTGGGACCCCTTCATAAAAGTCTCTGAACACCAGGGCTCCCAGCGGAGAGCGGCGACGTAACGAGCTCTTCACACCAAGGCTCCCAAGAGCGAAAGGTGCCATGAGCCATCTCGGGCAAGTTCCCGAGGCGCTCGTTCCGTCTCCGTGCCGAGCCAGGTTGCCAGCCAGAAGTTCTTTGGATGTCCGCGAGGATCGATTCAGAGACCTCTCGGAAGCCTGTTGGGGGCGGTTTGGGGGGTGTTTTGGGGTGTCTCGGGGGCCTCTTGGGGGCTTCTTGGGAGCCTGACCTGGGCCTCTTGGGGGCCTTCTGGGGGCACCTCGAGGGCCTCTTAGGGGATCTTGGGGCGATCTTGGGGCAGAGGGTTCTTAATGTCAGTTCGTGTTCTAGTTGTAGTCGTAGACTGCCTACGAATGAGTAGTGGTAGACGTCTCAGTCGGATTAGTAGTCGTATTGACAGTAGCATTCGCATTCTTATTAGTTTTCGCATTTGTATCAGTATTTATGGTCGTATTCGTAGTCCGTATGTTTCGCATTGTTCGTAGTTTGTATTAGGAACGGCCAGGGTGCGGAACTGCCAGGCCCCTGGAAGGCTGGTCAGTGTCTTCTGCCGCACAGGTGTTAGTTGTTTGACCTCGACGTCGCAATTTGCGTGAGGGGTGCGTTCTGCTGTCATAATTGTGAGGATGCTTGTAATAGAAACATCGCGACAAGCTTCACTTGATCGCTTTTCTTCAGGGGGGTATGTATCTATAACTATACAGGTGTATGCATACTTGAGTACGTGGGTATACATTTTAACACAGATGTGCGCGTGTAGTTACACGTTCATATGTATATATGTATGTAGGTACGTGTGCATATACGTATGTGTATGTATGTATACAGATATGTGTGTCTGCATGCATGCATCCATGTATGCATGCATGTATGTATGTACGTACGTACGTTTGCATGAATGTATGTATGTACGATGTATATATGCATGCATTTATGTAAATGGCCATGCCTGTGTACTAATCCATGTTACATATGCACGTATATGTGTTCGCAGGTGTCTATACGCATGTACATATACGTGACCATGTTTGTAACCATACATGTGTGCATGCACGCATACACACATAACTGTATATATACATGCAAGCATACACATGTTCATATGTTTGGGTGCAATTTTCATACGTGTGTGCGTAGATGTGTGTAGGTTGTGTGTGCGTGGATACATGCACGTATGCATGCATGTATGTATGTATACATGTCTTCATGCATGCATGCATGTATGTATACACGTATGCATTGATGTAAGCATATGCATGCATGTAGGTAGGTGTACGCCGAAGTACGTATGTATGCATGCATGCATGTAGGTATGCATAGATGTCTGTATATAGGTATCTGTATATGTTTACGTACATGTAAAGGTGTGTGTGCACATGTATATTTTCATATGTGTACACATGTTTTCGTATCTGCATATGCAAACGCATACGTCTATGCATACGTGTATGCTCATGCATAGGTGTACGCGTATGCTGTTATGTTTGTGCACTATGCATATATATATATATATATATATATGTATGCGTGTAGGTATTTGCATATGCATATGTACCTGTAGGTGACTATGTGCACGTGTTGTGTTCGTATAGGTGTATGTAAATGCATATGTAGATGTAGACATAGCTGTACATTCCCATGTATGAGTGTAGGTGTATGTATACGAATATGCATATGCATATGTATCTGTTTATATACAGGTATATATATATGTTTATGTATGTGTATATGTTCATTTACATGTACATGTGTATGTCCACGCGTATGTATATGTCTATGTCTATGTACATGTTCATGTGTTTGTATATGCATATGTGTTTGTAACTGTTTATGTGTCCTTTGTATGTATAAGTATGTGAATAGGATATGTATAGGTGAACGTTGGCGTATATATATATACATATATATACATATATATATATATGTATTTGTTTTCGTTTGTGCACAACCACACATATTTACACATATACATATGTACATCTATACATATTTATATACATGTGTGTGTGTGGCTTTCGGCCATTCCTGACACCGTGCCTAGGTTGTGGGTCAGAGTTCTCAGGGATACTTCTTGTGGTCTGTTCGAAGCGCTCTCGGGGGCCTCTGTGGGGCAGTTTGGGAGCTTCCGGAGTGCCTCTTGGGGCCTCTGCCTCTTGGGAGCCTCTTGGAGGTCTCTTTGGGTCTGACGGGGGCCCTTCGGGGCCGAGGGCTCGAACTTTCCGTTCGGGTCCCCTCTTGGAGCCGTCTTTGTGGTCTTTTGGTCCGTTTTGAGCGCCTCTTGGGCCGTCTTGGGGCCCTCTGAGGCCGCGATCGTTCGGCGACTCGGATCGTTCTTCGACCGTCTTGGGTTTGAAACCCTCTTGGCCTGTCTAGGTTGGGCCGAGCAAATTCACACGCCACTACGTGCTGGAGCCCAGGGGAACCGCGGGAACCCCCAAGAGATTTCGGAAACTGGGGTCTGGGACCCCTCACGGCTCCTCAGGACTTAGGATTGAGGCTCCAGGAATTAGGCAATGGACCTGAGGATACGCGTTTTTCGTGCCCGAAGGCACGGTGGCGGATCTCTCTCTCTCTCTCTCTCTTTATGTATATGTAAATGTCTATGTATATATTTAGGGGTATGCATATGTACATGTATTTCTATATGTACATCTATATGCATGGTTATATGTTTGTGATATGCATATGTATGTGTATGTCTATGTCTATGTAATGTATAGTTATACGTATACGTATAGGTATCTTTGCATGTGTATATGTAGGTGCACATGCAAGTTTCATGGTATGTGTAAGCATGCAATGAACATATGTATTTACATATGTGCATGTGTAGATGCGTTGGTAAATGCATGCACGTATACATGTGTATATGTAGGTGATTGTGCATATATGTATGTGTGCATGCATATGTATACGTATGTTTTTTGTATGTATATGTGCTTGAACATGCCTATGCATGTGTAGACGTACATGTATATGTATGTGTCTATGTGTGTATATGTATATGTATATGAGTTTTTGATTGCCGGTGCACAGGTAAACGCATTTGCACACACGCACATATATATATGTACATGTGTATGCATATGCACATATACACGTATATATGTGTGTGTATATGTATATGCACAAGTACATGCATGTGTATATATATGTACATATATATATATATAGGTTTATGTATGCGCATCGGCATTTGTATATGTATATGTATTTGTATATGCATGTATCTATGTGTTTGTTTATATATGTCGTTATACGTATGCATATGTACATTCATATGTATGTGTATATGCTTATGTATATGTATATACAATCGCACATTGGTGTGCAGATTTCTGTATATGTATATGATTGTGTATATGTGCGTGCGTATACGGGTACGCACATGAATAAGTATTTGCTCATGTCTACGATACATACGAACACATATATTGTATACATATACATACACACGGGTGTGTGTATTGGGCTTTCTGACACCCTGCCGAACCGGAGGTGCAGGGCTGCGCTCGCTGCTGGAGGCCCCCGCGGGTGTACTGACAGGGGACCTGCACCAGCAGCCCCCCCGTGCAATGCCAACGAGAGCAAGCAGGAGGCAGGAGGAGGAGGAGGAGCAGGAGGCAGGAGGAGGAGGAGGAGGAGGAGGAGGAGGAGGAGGGGGAGGAGAAGGTCGAGGAGGAGGAGGAGGAGGAGGAGGAGGAGGATGAGGAGGAGGAGGAGAGGTGGAGGAGGAGGAGAGATGGAGGACAGGAGGAGGGATCGTGGAGGAGGAGGAGGAGGAGCAATACGATAATGATGGTGATGATGATGATTTGATGATGATGATGATGCTGAGGATCATGAGGGTGATGATGATGATGATTATGATGCTGATGATGATCGATAGTGATGATGGTGGTCATGACGATGCTGATGATCATGATAGTCATGATGATGCTGCTGTTTATCATGCTCACGACGATGATGCCTTTGTCGATGATGATGGTGATGATGATGTGGATGCTGATGATGATGGTGTTGGTGGTGATTTTGATGATGCTAATGCTGATGATGATGCTGATGATGATGATGATGATGATGATGATGGTGGTGATGACGATGACGATGCTGATGATGCTGATGATGACGATGCTGATGATGATAATGGTGCAAATGACGACGACCACGACGACGACGACTAGGATCAGGTCGACGACCATGATGGTGCTGCTGCTGCTGATGATGATGATGATGATGCTTCTGACGCTGATGATGATGATGCTGATGATGATGTTGATGACGACGACGCCGACGACGACGATGCTGACCGATGATGAAGACGATGATGATGGTGATGGTGCTGCTGATGCTGACCGATGATGTTGATGACCATGATGGCACTGATGATGATGCTGCCGATGCTGCTGAAAATGATGATGCTGCTGCTGGCGATGATGGTGATGACGGTGACAATGCCTTTGTTGATGATGATGATGAATACGACGATGATCGTGACGATGATGTTGATTATGATGGTGATGATGACGATGGCGATGACGATGCTGATGATGATGGTGATGATCATGATGATTGGTTGTGATCGATGGTCGATGATGATGAGGACGATGATGATGAGGATGATGATGATGATGGTGCTGCTGCTGCTGATCATGATGATGATGAGTATGATGATGCTGGTGATGATGACCATGATGATGCTGATGATGATGATGATGATGATGATGATCACGACGATGATGACGATCACGATGGTGATGATGATGCTGATGATGATGATGATGGTCGTAGATGGTGATGATGACGATGCTGATGCTGCTGCTGATGACGACGATGATGATGACTATGATGATGACCACGAATACCACGATGGTGGTGATGCTGATGATGATGATGATGCTTGTGATGATGATTATGAGGATGATGCTGATGACACTTCTGATGATGATGCTGCTGCTGCTGATTCTGATGCTGAAGCTGATGCTGATGCCGATGCTGATCATGGTGATGATGAGTATGATGATGCTGGTGATGATGACCATGATGATGATGCTGATGATGATGATCACGACGACGATGATGATCATGATGATGATGATGGTCGTAGATGATGATGATGATGATGATGATGATGATGATGTTGATGATGATGATGATGATGATGACGATACTGATGCTGCTGAGGATGACGACGATGATGACGATGACTATGATGATGATCACGATGGCCACGATGGTGATGATGCTGATGTTGATGATGATGCTTGTGTTGATGATTATGAGGGTAATCCTGATGATGCTGCTGATGATGATGATGCTGCTGCTGCTGATGATTCTGATGCTGATGCTGATGCTGATGCTGATCATGCTGATGATGATGAGGATGAGGATGAGGAGGAGGAGGACGAGCAGGAGGTGGAGGAGGAGGAGAAGGATAATGATGACGGTGATGATCATGGTGATGATGATGACGATGCTGATGATAATGATGATGACCATGATGACCATGATTTTGATGATGATGATGATGATGAGGATGAGGATGATGATGATGATGATGAGGGTGGTGGTGATGATGATGATGATGATGATGATGATGGGGATGATGCTGATGATGATGCTGATGATGATGATGATGATGGTACTGGTAGTGATAATAGTGATGGTGATGGTGATGATGGTGATGATGGTGATGATGGTGGTGATGATGATAATCATTATGATGCTAATGACGATGATGATGATGATGATGATGATGATGATGATGATGATGATGCTGACGCTGATGATGATGCTGATGCTGATGCTGCTGATGATGCTGGTGATAATGATGCTGATGCTGATGCTGACGATGATGATGATTAGGATGATACTGATGATGATGATGATGATGATGATGCTGATGATGATGATTATGCTGATGCTGATGATGATGGTGATGATTCTGATGATGATGTCGATGATTCTGATTATGATGATGATGCTGATGCTGATGCTGATGATGATGATGGTGACGATGATGATGATGATGGTGATGATGGTCATGGTGATGATGATGATGCTGATGCTGGTGATTGTGATGATGATGATAACGATGATGATGATGATGATGATGATGATGATGATGATGATGATGATGATGATGATGATGATGATTCGAACGATGATGGTGATGATGACGACGATACCGATGTGATGATGAGGATGATGGTGGTGATGGTGATGGTGATGGTGATGGTGATGATGATGATGGTGATGATGATGATAAAGACTATGATGAGGATGATGATTCTCATTATGATGATGATGCTAATGGTGATGGTGATGATGTTGATGACGGTGACGATGATGATGATCATGATGATGATCATGGTGATGTTGATGATGATGATGCTGATGATGGTGATGATGACGATGCTGATGATGGCAATGATCCTGATGATGATGATGCGGATGATGAGGAGGATTATGGTAATGATGGTGATGGTGATGGTGATGATGATGACGACGATGATGATGATGTTGACGATGCTGATTCTGCTGCTGATGATGCCGATGGTGGTAGCGGTGGTGGTGATGGTGATGATGATGATGATGGGGATGATGATTAAGATGATGATGATGCTGCTGATGCTGATGATGATGCTGATGATGATGGTGATGATGATGATGGTGGTGGTGATTGTGGTGGTGGTGGGGGTCATGATGATGATGACGATGATGATGATGATGATGATGATTGTGATGGCGATGATGATGATGATGATGATGATGATGATGATGATGAGGATGATGATTATGATGATGATGATGATGATTATGATGGTGGTGATGATGATGAGGATGAGGATGAGGATGATGATGATTATGGTGATGATGATGATGATGATGAGGATGAGGATGAGGATGGGGATGAGGATGATGATCATGATGATGATGACGATGACGATGATGATGCTGATGATGGTGATGATGATGATGATGATGATGATGATGATGATGATGGTGGTGGTGGTGATGATGATGATGCTGATTTGTGATGATGGTGATGATGATGATGATGATGATGATGATGATGATGGTGGTGGTGGTGATGCTGATGATGATGATGATGCTGATTGGTGATGATGATGATGATGTTGATGATGATGATGATGATGATGATGATGATGATGATGGTGCTGATGCTGATGCTGATGCTGATGCTGATGCTGATGCTGATGATGATGATGATGATGATGATGATGATGATTGGTGTTGATAGGTGGTGGTGGTGATGATGATGGTGGTGATGATGATGAGGATGATGATGATGATGATGATGATCATGATGATGATGATGATGATGATGATGATGATGATGATGATGATGACGATGACGATGACGACGACGACGACGACGACGATGCTGAAGCCCTGAATTAGAGGAGCAGAGACCCATGTTTTGGTGGGCCGCTCAGGTCGTTGCCTACTACACGGGGCGAGTTCTTGCCCACCTGGCGGCCGCTGGATTCCCAGACGTTGAGTGCCCTCGGCTTCGTCGCTCGTTCGATCCGCTCGTCCTGGCCTCGGATCCCAGGTGGCACCATGTCAGGTTCCAGAGTGTCCGTTGGGGGTGCTTAGCCTGTGGTAGGAGTTGCTCGAGTCGGGCCCGTCCCGTGGCGAATCTGTGTCCTTTGGTTCCCTCTAAGCTGGCTCAGGCGCACTGGTTCCATCGGCTCTGGGGGTCTGGCGGCCCCGAGGGGACTGTGTGGCGCAGCGCCCGTGGCGCCCGTGCGAGGAGACAGGTCCTTGGTGTTGTCAGGCCGATGCGCTGGGCACCCCACCGATGGTCGAGCCAGAGCCCTGAAGGAGCTAAGGAGAGGGAAGGACTCCACTTCCAACAAATCCCCTCCCTCGGTCCACCCGCGTGGTGCCCCTGATGCATCCCCGTCGTGCCGACTGGGTTCAGGGGCAACATGAGCTTGTGGCCGAGGGGGGAAATTCAGAAGGCTCCGGCACTTCTCAACAATTAAATTGTTGAGAAGTGCCGGAGCCTTGGATCGGGGTGTGGGCCCTGGTCTCGCTTCGTTCGGCGCGTGCTTGCTGGATCGTGGATTGCGGTGGTTCCATCGGGGGCCGCCGTCAGAGGAGCGGAAAGCGGAAAGAGGAGGAGGATGAGGAGGAAGAGGTGGCGGAGGAGGAGGAGGGGGAGGAGGAGGAGGAGGAGGAGAAGGAGGAGGAGGAGGAGGAGGAGGGGGAGCGGGAGGGGGAGGGGGAGGTCCAGCGGAGTAGGGACACGCAGATCCAAAGGATACCTCGCGCTCCCAGGTTGGGTGCCAGCTACGCGACTGTCGACACTTTTGCGGGCTCCTGAGAGGTCCAGCAGAGCGGAGCGCCACGCGCATTGCGACCAGACCTCGCGTTCCCTGGGCAGCCTGGGTGGCTGTCGACTGCACAGATGTCGCCACTTTCGCGCGGTCCTGGGAGTTCCAGCGGAGCGCAGGGACACGCGCATTGCGACTAGACCTCGCGCTCCCTGGGTGGCTGCCACTTGCGCAACTCTCGCCACGCACGTATGGCCTTCTGTGAGATCCCGCGGGGCGACGTGTTAGCAGATGTAGAGGGTCTCGAGTAATTTGTGCACTGCCAACTGCGCGACTATCATCACCTTCGTGCGCTCCTGCCAGTTGCGGAACCGTCGCCACTTTACGTCGGCTGCTGGGAGGCCCAGCGGAGTGCAGGGCTGCGCAGGCTCAGAGTAAACTTGTTTTCGATCATCGTCGCCTGCCTTTCTTTTTCCTTCCCCTCCTCCCCCTCCTCCCCCTCCTCCTCCCCCTCCACTCCTCCTCCTCCTCCTCCTCCTCCTCAGCCTCCTCCTCCTCCTCCTCCCCCTCCTCCTTCTCCTCCTCCTCCTCCTCCTCGTCCTCCTCCTCCTCCTCCTCGGCTTGCCCATTTGCTTCCGCGGTGCATCATGCATGTCCCCTGAGCGTTCTGCAGCGCCCTCCCGTGTAGCATTCAACAGCGATGGTTCTGGTTGAAGAGGCCACTCGTTGCAAGTGGGTTGGGCACGACGTCCCTCGGTACTTTGGGAAGCGGCAGATAGCATTAGCGCGACCTGCTGCCGCGCACGATGGACCCCCCCCGCCCCCGAAGGGTCGCGGGGCCCGCCCCCCCCCCCTGGCCGAAGCCACGAGGCAGCTCTGCGTCGTCCCCTGTGACTACTCCTGCCGCCCTGCTTGTGGCCCCTCGGCAGGTGCTGGAGCCCTGGCCGGAGCACTTCTGGGTGCGCCGCACGGGGCCGAGGGGGGCGGAGGTGTGCCTGCACGAGAGGCTCCCCGAAGAGTGGCGCGCCAGCGCGGCGGAGCTCGCCGATGGCAGGCCGTCGGGGGGAGGAGAAGGCACCCAGACCGCCTCCTCCTCCTCCTCCTCTTCCTCCTCCTCCTCCTCCTCTTCCACCTCCTCCTCCTCCTCCTCCTCCTCCTCCTCCTCCTCCTCCTACTGCCCTTTCCCCGTCGCCGCCGCCGAATTCGCCCCGAAATCCTGGTCAGAACGTATGGCGCCGTCGGCGGCGACGTCGGCGGCGGCGGCGACGACGTCGACGATGACGACGACGACAACGTCGACGACGACGACGACGAGGACGTCGACGTCGACGTCGACGTCGACGACGACGTCGGTACCTTTCGGTTCCCCCAGGCCTGGCGATTCGCCGACCGACGCAGGCTGCGCGCCCGCGGCGGGCGAGGGGCCTCGGCGTGCTTCCGCTCTGCCTGGGCTGTAGGGCCGAGCGCGACCGCGCCGAGGCCCTGAAAAGAGCCCTTCGGCCGCAGGCACCCGCCCGCTCATCGAAGAAGAGAGAACGCCATGATGGGCCTGTTTTCCGCCACCACCATAAGTTGGATGGGGGGAAGGAGGAGGAGGAGGAGGAGGAGGAGGAGGAGGAGGAGGAGGAGGAGGAGGAGGAGGAGGAGGAGGAGGAGGAGGAGGAGGAGGAGGAGGAGGACCCCCTCCCCCTCCAACTTATGGTGGTGGTGGTGGAAAACAGGCCCATCACGCCATAAACATAAATTTATGTTTGTACAGCTACGGGGAGGGGCCAGCCACAAGAGGGGGTCGGGCGGAGGCCTCCGACAGGAGTGCCGAATGAGAGAGCGAAACTTTTCACACCAGTGGGCGGACCTCGCCCGAAGATCTTGCAAACACGAATCTCGAGAGATGCCAGGCGTGCGCCGACTCGGGCCGTTGCTCGAGCAGGCCCGCAATCTACATCACGGGGCACGCCCAGAACTAAAGTTAATCGTGATTACCCTACACAAGGGCAGGGGGGGCGGGACCGAAAAAGCTATGAGCACATACAAAGATAAGGAGAGCACAGACGGCCCACGACCCCGCACACTGCGACATAAAAGATTGTTTGAAAACAGTTATTTATGTTTGTACAGCTACGGGGAGGGGCCAGCCACAAGAGGGGGTCGGGCGGAGGCCTCCGACAGGAGTGCCGAATGAGAGAGCGAAACTTTTCACACCAGTGGGCGGACCTCGCCCGAAGATCTTGCAAACACGAATCTCGAGAGATGCCAGGCGTGCGCCGACTCGGGCCGTTGCTCGAGCAGGCCCGCAATCTACATCACGGGGCACGCCCAGAACTAAAGTTAATCGTGATTACCCGTCCACGCCGCAACGCAAGCATCTGGCCCAATGGGCCCTCAGCCTGCTTCCAAAATCAGCAAACCAATAGGGAGGGAGGGAGGGAAACAAGGATACAACTTAAAAGACCCAGACTTACCCCCTTATGGCTAGCCCACAAGTTCCCCCCATTACTGACTGTGAGAGCGAGGCGAAGGAAAGAGGCAAGAGTGGCGCCAACGCTTAGGTCCTGCGTCGAGCGCGTGCACGATGAGCGCTGGACGGCTTGCCGAAAGGCTCAGACCTGCTCACTTGGCCCTCGTCGAAAACCTGCACCTCATCGTCTCTGACCCGCGCGAGCTTCTCCACCAGTAGCTTCGCCAGCGGGGTGTCGGACACGGGTGAGTTCATGATTGCCTCCTTCAGCTGCTTGGCCGGCTGACGCCAAAAGCTGCGGCCCGTCTCCATCGTCGTCGATGGCAATTGTGAACGGCGTCTGATGAGCGTGTGGACCTTGGTGTAACGGCTCAGAGCTGATGGGGTCTTCCAACGCCCACGTCTGCGGGCCTCCTCCAGTCCTCCGCCAGCCGCGACAAAGTCGGCCGCCGCGGCGTGGCGGATGCCATGCGGAGGCCCCATGTGCTCCAAACCCAGCTCGCCCAGCAGCTTGGCCCACGAACGCCTGAAACTGCCCTGGCTCACGGGCAGCACGAGCTCTTGGTCCGAGATGACCGAGACAAGAACCTCCATGATGGCCTTGGCAACCTTCATCTTGAGCTCGACACCCTGGTCGGAACCGGTCTTCACTTTCTCGCCGCGCTCTCGCCTTCCAAGGAGTAGTGCGACCCGCCCGTCCCTGTCGATGCTCACGTCGTTCTTCCGCAGCTGGCACCAGTCTTGCTCCCTCAACCACCCGTCCAGCTGCACGAGCGCGGCCGCGCCCTCAATGATCATGCCGCGCTCGAAGAACGCCTTGATGATGGTCCCCATCGCCTCCATCGGGATAGGCTCGCCCTCCCCGCCGAAGCCCATGCGCTCCCAGCTCTTGAGTGCGCGGGCTGCGACTGGGAGGAAGTTCCTGTGGTCCTCGAAGATGTGCATGAACCCGTTGAAAAGGTAGCTCGCTTTCATGAAGCTGGCCTGCTGCACATAGCACATGTCGGCGATGTAGTCCGCCAACGCCCTGTCGCGCTCCGCCACCGTGCTGAACGGCTGGCCGGAGCGCTTCACCTCCACTAAGAAGTCCTTGACGGCTCGCTGGTACTGGATGTTGGTGTTGTCGTCGACCGCGTGGATCACCAGCCTGTTGTTGTACTTCAGCGGGCCCTCGGCGGCCCTCTCCCAGGCAAGGGCTCCTCTCTGCTTGAGCGGGGGTGGCTTCGGCCCACGCGGGGCCGCCGCCGCCCGCTGCGTCGAGACGAAGAGGATCACCAATGGGAGTGTCCAGCGGTTCCTCGCCGTCGCAGCCCCCGAAGCCAGTGGAGCAGCCGCTTGGGTGTGTACCTCGTGCTGTGGCCCGCCTTCGTCTCCTCCGCCGCTCCCAGGTCGACCTGTCGAGACGGTCCGTCGGCGACGTTGACCTCGGAGGGTACCCAACGATAATATGGACGCAGTCGGCACACCAGCTGTACAACTCCCGCCATTCTCGCCAGATGTAGTAGAGCCCGTGCCGAGCTTCTCCCCTTGGTCAGCACCCCGAGGCTCACCAACGAATCCGTCATGATGAGTACTCGAGATCTCCAGGCCCTCGAAGTCCTCGACAGGTGTCGTAGCAGCCCCACTATCGTCCTCAGCTCCAACACATTGTTGTGCTCCTCCCTCTGCCAGCGCCCCTGGAACAAGACTCTCCACCTCTGCTCGTCGAGCCAGCTCTCCTGTGGTGGAAGATGTTGTGCTCGGGCCCTCACGACTCGAGGCAGTCCGTGACGCAGCCTCACCTGCGCACCGTCCGGGACCCTCTCCCAAGAGGGCTCGACGCTCCTCACCACCTGAGCGTAGGTCTCGCAGAAGAGGACGGGGTACGGGCAGGCGATCTTCGTCCACTTGGTACCGCCCGGGCCGCTGCCCCGCAACTCGCGATGCACCAGTCCTGTCCTCGAGCAGCGCCCCCGCGTGCCCTGACATCGACGCTCCATCACACAGAGGGCCCTGCAGTTGGTGACCAGGGTGGTCGGCTTCTTCCACTCCTCCCCGTACTGGCAGTAGTCCAGGCTGATCCTGATGACCTCGGACCTCGCGAGCAGCTCGAGCATGGGCGGGAAGGCCCACATCAGGCTGGACTCGGGGTTCTCGATCACGAAGTAGATCCCCTCCCTGATGCAGAAGAGCGCCGCCTGCACCGCCAGCACACACAGCGTAGATCCCTCCTGCGCCTTCTCCGCGTCGCCTGGACTCAGACCTGGCAGGCCCCAGGGACAGTCGAGCGATCTCAGGGGAGGTCGCCTCGCCCGCGAGAAGGTAGAACAGGGAGGGGCCATGTGTATCCACCACCACCACCGCCATCGTAGCCGTCGGAAGAGACGTTCGAGGTTGGAAACATTGAGGAGATCGTACTCGCGGCCACGGGCCACATCCCATGCCTCTCCCCACGAGAGAGTCCGACCGAGGATCGCCTGTAGGAGCCTCTCGCTGCCCGCGAACAGCTCCAGAAAGCCCGGTCTCCCCATCTCTGGTGACATTGGCGCGTCGTCCTCGTCGCCCTCGGCCTCGACCTCCTGCTCCACCTCCGTGTAAGCTCGTGCCGCCTGAATCGTCCATGACTGCAGCGACCCTCGACTGAGCTCTGTCCTGATCTCCTCCACATCGGCCCTCGTCACAACCGCTGCGAAACCCTCCTCCGACGCATCCGTCATGTAGACCCTCTCCAGCCAGGGTGCCTCCAGGTCCGCCTCCATAAAGACGTGCAGCGCCGAGAGCGCCTGCAGCTCGCTCAGTACCTGGATGTCCAGCTTCTGCCATCTCATCGCATCCTCCTCGCGGAACCCGTGCATCCAACGGTAGGCGGCATCCAGGATGCAGAAGGCCGCCCTGTTGGTCATGATCGCCCACGTCCACAGGCCCAGCAAACTGCTGAGAGCAGCCGGGGGTACACGACCCATGATGACCACCGCTTCGGTCGCCAGCACCATGTCCCTCATCTTGTCCTGGACGACGCGTAGCCTGTATGGCCTCGGGCCAATGGCCAGCCCAAGACCCCTCGTCAGGCCCTCCCCCCAGTCCTCCTTGTGCACTGGGAGGCCCTGACCCACGAGGTGTGCCTTCACCTTCTCCCTGTCCAGCTCCAGCTCCTCCCCGTTCTCCGAACACAGCTTCAGCCCGATGTAGTCGTCGATGTACAGCAATAGCATCAGCTGCACCTTCTCGAAGGACGGGGTCGGCCTCCCATATGTGATCTGCCCGAGGTTGATGTCGGGCAAACTCTCCAGGGCGTCCGACAGGCAGCTGTGGGCCAAGAAGACGGCCCAGCTGGACCCCATGACGGGGGACATGGCTCCAAGTCCAATATCGTCGGGCTCGGGCTTCGGTATAGAGATCCCCTGCTTGCACGCGTAGTCGTAGATCTGCTGCGGGGTCACCTCTGGCAGCACAACGTACTCCGCCAAGGAAGCCGGCCATCGTAGCCGGTAGAACCAGTCGGGAATATCGCCCTGGAAGGAGTATAGCCGTCGCCCATGTAGGATTGACTCGTCCAGCTCCAACAGCGCCAGGGATGCGGGGGACCCCAGGGGAACCCACGGCGGGTCCTGGAACAGGAGATTGACCCGCCTGCAGTCCCAGACCAGGCGGCTCTTCTCCACCCCCGTCCCCTGCTCGCTCAGGTTCTTGACTACGGTGAACACGCCAACCCTCTCGCGTATGTTCTTCACGTAGCCTATCATCCCCGAGCGAAGCATTCGTAGGGCGAGCTCGAGTCGATTGCTGCCCCGTCTCCAGCCCGGGTCGGTGTAGCTGCGCGTGTTTTCGTAGCGGTCCCAGTCGACCTGACCCACTTCCTTGATCATCTCGCTGCCCACATTGCTGAGGTAAGCCCCCGCCGTCTCCGAAAGCCTCTCGATGTTCAGGCCCTTCGTATTCGGCGGCGGCACCGAGACCTCCGAGGCCACCAGCGGGCACATGTCCCCCTTGCTCAGGTGCTTCCTCGTCGTCCTCGATCTCGTCATTGTACGTGTAC